GGCAGCAGCGACATCAGCAGGCATCATCATCGGGATCATCAGCTGAACCAGCTCCAGACCACAACCCTACCCCCCACAGCATCAGAGGAATCAGCTCCAGCACCAGTAGCATCAGTACAAGTAGAAGCGAAATTAACATCATCAGCAGAATCATTACAAGCAGCCAACACGGCTTGGCAAATAAGTGCGTGGCAGGATCTCATTCCTTTCGCTCTCATGGTCCTGTCAGTACGATGATTCTAAATGTGATGTCGTCTCTTGCACTTCTCCTCCTCAGAGTTTCTTCTAGCTTGGAATCCCGCGACCGCTCAGGATGATCCAAGGTTTCTCGATTGCAAACAGCTGGCCAGAGAGTAGCTACGGTTGCCTCGGCTGACGGAGGGGCTTCAAAGTCGAGGGTTCCGTGATTCTACGTGCAGTAGGGCTGTAGATTTACTTTCAGATGAGGAAGTTCTGTTCGGTTCGTTTTGGCGGCTTCCTTCAGGGCTTCGGGTGTGGGACAGAAACTCCGCGTGGCTCAGGCATGCTGGGTGGAATCAGCACCTTGATGTGGTCCATGGTCTTCTTCGGGCTAATCTTGTGGCCTGCTCCGCAGTGGCAGTTCTGGGGCTTAGGGGTCTGGAGGATGTAGGGCTGAAGCAGCAGCTTCGGGTGTTCGTGATGAAGTATTTTAGGACCTCGAGAGGAGGACTTAGATTCGGGGACCCGGCCGATAGCCTTCGTTCTCTCTCTCTCTCTCTCTCTGTCTGCAGTCCTCCCCCTGCTATAGCACTGAAGTCCGAAACCCAAAGGCTGTGGTGGAAGTCGAATCAAGTTACCAGGTACGTGGCAGCGCTTCTCTTTCGAGAGCTGCTCGGCCGGCGGAAGGAAGCGCCATGGCCTCAGCAGCACAGAAAAAGGTTTCTGCATGGCCGTCCTTGTCTCAGAGTATCTTTGTAATCTGTCGACCCTACACCAGCAAAGCTGAGCCTACCAGGTTCAGTGCAAAAAGAACCCATGATTTCGATGATTTCCGAGTAAAATAAAAGCAAGTGCTGAAGGGATCAGTCGCAGAGCTGCTGCCTGTCTCAGCAAGAAAGGAGGTCTACTTACTACCTCCAGGGTTGTACCCCGGTGAGTTCTGATGCGCCCTAGTTCTTTGAGCCTGAGACAAGACTGGAAGCGGAGCGAAAGCCTAAGCCAAGGGCAGCTGACGATCCTGTGAACCTATTAGTCCCGCTAGATGAAGTGAACCCAGCGGAAACCAGTTGCAAGAGATGAGATTTTCTTGTTAGCCAAGCACTTGGAGGAAAAACGTCACGCCGTGGTTCAACTCAGTCCCGCGGTCAATGCTCCATCCTCGGACTGGGCGGGTCCTTCAGACTCTTGAGCTTCGGGCCTGCTTGGGGTGCTTTTTCCCAGCTCAGTACGCGAGAAGGCCTCCCCTGCTTGGCCCTTTTCTGGGAACGAAAAATAGCTAGTGTCCGGGCACCACCTGCCGACTGCCAGACTTTGGTGTCCTCAGTCAACAGCACAGCAGCATCTGTAATGTAGTGCTGTTCACCTGCTGTTCAATAGTTGTTCATTCAGACTCCTTGCAGATTCCTTGTAGGCCTGCTCTCAGAATCTGCCCCCCCTCATGCAGACCCTAGGTACTCCACCTTCAGATGCAGCTTTGGCGACTGTGCCATGGCTGTACCCAGAGCCCTTCAAGCAAAGGACGCAAGGCGGCAACGCTGAAGCCCGAACTCCACATCAGCCCTTCTTTCAAGCAGCTGGTGACGGGCTGCCCCTTGAGTCAAGTAAGTCATGAACCTGAGTATACGACTTCTTGAATTGTCGAGCAAGAACGCCGCGAGTTGTCAGGTGCGAACATCGCCGGCCAGCCAATTTTCGAGTTTGTGCAAGAGGAGTGACATCCAATGGCTTCGACCGTGTCCTTACAACTGTGTTGATGGTGTGGCAAGCCATGTTTCAGACGTCGAAGGGTGTGGGATTGCATCGAGTTGTCGAACATGACAGGCAAGCATATTGTGCAGTTGGTCTCCCAGGAGTTCTGTTTGTGTTCGTTAACTGGGAACTCTGTTGTGTGCTTCTCTGCCGCGCTGTGGGGCCTGTTTCGAACACCGCTCTATTGATACTAAATATTGTGGTTAGCCTTGATCGTTTATGGATCTTTTCGAAGATGATTGCCCACGAAGCCCCAAAGCTTTCAAGAACTGGGGCTGAGCTTCAACCCAGAAGTTTTGAACCCTTTCGGCGCAATCACTTCACCCGGTGCGCAGGAGATGGGCGAAAACAGCTGGTTCTTCAGTGCCCTGGCTTCACAAGCGCTTCAGACTCTAAAACAGGTCCTGTCTCAGAGGGGTTGGCTGTAAGGGTAATGACAACCCGTAACAGGAACGGGGACCGATCCCGTAACAGCAACCACCAGTTCCTGTAACACTTTCGAGGCCGCCCCTCGTACCAGGAACCAGCGCAGGGCTCCAATAATGACTTGTTTCACGTCCACCCGCTCTTGTGGTCTCGCCAACTCAGGGATCGCTTTCCGGTCCCCCACTTATACAGCTTCAACATGTCATGTCATGTAATGTGGGGGCCTAAATAATAACCCCCCCCCCCCCCCCCCCCCGTTGATTGATTGCTGNNGAATAATCTGGGATCCGTGACCCCCTAGGCCAAGGTTCGGTAGATTGGGGCTCTTGGGTTGGCTTGAGGTCTGGGTGGCTTTGACTAAGTTAGAAGGGAATTGGGGTATTTCAGAGTTTGTGGGCTGGCTTGGGGTCGGGTGGCTTTGACTATAAGTTAGAAGGGAATTGGGGGATTCTAGGGTTTGTGGGCTGGCTTGGGGTCTGGGTGGCTTGACTAGGTTAGAAGGGAATTGGGGATTTAAGGGTTTGTGGGCTGGCTTGGGGTCTGGGTGGCTTTGACTAAGTTAGAAGGTAAATTGGGGGATCCCAGGGTTTGTGTGGGGCTTTGACTAGGTTAGAAGGGAATTGGGGTATCTCAGGGTTTGTGGGCTGGCTGGCTTGGGGTCTGGGTGGCTTGACTAAGTTAGAAGGGAATTGGGGGATTTCAGGGTTTGTGGGCTGGCTTGGGGTCTGGGTGGCTTTGACTAAGTTGAAAGGGAATGGGGGATTTAAGGGTTTGTGGGCTGGCTTGGGGTCTGGGTGGCTTTGACTAAGTTGAAAGGGAATTGTAGGATTTAAGGGTTTGTGGGCTGGCTTGGGGTCGGGGTGGCTTTGACTAAATTAAGATTAAGAGGGTTCTGTAGGTTTCGGGGGTTTGGGGTGGTTTGGTTTCATTTGGGGTCTCGGGGCTTGAGTAGAAGGCTGTGGGAGGGTTTAAGAGGGTTCTGTAGGTTAGGCTACGTTAAAAGCGGAGGGTTTCGTGGGCTTGGTTTGATCTCGGTCTGGGGTTGAAGTAGGAGGGTTTAGGGAGAGTTTCGGGCTTCAGGGCCAGGGTTTCAGGGTTTGGAGGGGGGTTTTAGGCTTTAGGGTTCGGGGGTGGTCTCAGGTTCAGGCTTAATAAAGGGAGGTTGAGGTGAGGTTCAAGGGGGATTTAGGCTTTAGGCTTGAGGTAGGTCGTGGCTGCTTTAAGATTGACCATTACTAGAAGGGAAGCAGCACAACCCAAACATTGCCAGGCCCAAAAAAACGCATCAGATAGGACCTTCAAGTTGCTGGTCTCGGCTTGAATGTTAAAAAACGCATTAAACAGGCCCACCGTAGCATTAAACAGGCCCACCTTATTTAACAGGCCTCCACATTAGCACTAGAAGCTGACCTCATATTTTCACAGCAACCTTTGACCTGAATTTCCGATGGCTGCAGCATCGGTGTTGCCATGAATGCCCCAGAGTAACATTGCATGGGTGTGCGGCGAGTGAAACTGCACATTTCATGACTTGTGTGCACGATCATATGACGAACGCTCCTGTGTGTAGTCTTGTCACGTCTTTATTTGTCCTACTTCTGGTGCTAAGAGCTGACCGAAACCCCAGACCCTCAAAGCCGTCCTCGAGCGTTCAAAGCTGCTCTTGACTGGCAAATGCCTGAACCTCAGAACCTGACCCGTCAACCCTAAGCCCCTAAAACACTAAACCCTTGAACCCCTAAACCTCCTAAATACCTCTACAGAGTCCTACAGCCCGAAGGCCTAAACCTTCAACCCAGAAAACAAGCCAAGCTGGCGCTGGTCAGTCCACGATGGCGTGCAAATGTTTGGCCCCGCCACCAATATAGTAGTAGTACTCGTAGTACGACAACTTCGACTTGCATTAGTACGAACCTTCTTGTAAGATAAAGCATCCATATTTCTTCGACAAAAACACAATGAAGAAACAACTTGTGGCTTCAGAAACAAGGAGTGTATTTCCACTGGCATCCTATATCCCAAGCCGTGAATCTGTTTCAACCCAAAGTTTATATGACTCGAACGAAACATAGGCGTCAGCATGAGGCTTTCATGGTGTCAAAGTAGGGGACCGAAAACCGGTCCCCCACACAAGAGTTTCAGCATAGTTTCGGTTGCTTGGCTTTCCTTGCACAGCTACGGTTACGCTCCCTGAGTGGTTCCTGTTTCTACTAGCCCTCGTTCCCGTTACGACGCCAGAAATGGTTTCCGTTACTCCCCAAACAGGTTCCCGTGACTCCCCGCACCCCTGCATCGAAGGGTCCGGCTTGCTTTTATCGGATCATTGGCAGCGGCCCTGTGCCGTCCGTTTAGACCCTGAAACACTAAAGCCCGGGCTTGGTTGCTCAGTCGAGGTTCGGCCTTCGGCCTGCTTGCAACTAAGGTCTGATCTACTGCTTGTTCATTTTTTCGATCACAATTGGGCTTTTCAATGCTGCCCGGCCAAAAGATGCACCTGGACGCACAGATCCCTGCACCTGAAGCCACACCACCTGTGACCGCTGAGACGAAGTCGGCGGAAACAGTTGGTCGTTGTGTGCTGTGCTTTCGCAGTTTTTCAGGGAATTTGTGTTTCAATCATTAAAGTACTGCACCACCTCTTCCAGGTTATCTCCGCCATTTTCGTCGAGAGCACCATGGCCCCTGGGCTTTAAACGGCTGCACGCAATCCGACTTGCGCATTTCGTGGGCCGGGGTAAGCAGATTGTGGCGAAGTTCTCAAGAGTTGCAGGGCTGCCTGGCTTAGGCTTTAAGTGTAAGTGGTTTTCGAACATGGATGAGGGATGCCGAGCTTGAATTGAGGCAAAAGAAATGCCGCAACACTAACAAACAGCAAAGTCGCCGGCTCACCTCAGTATTGATGGCGGTGATCCAGAATGATACCGTCAGGCTGCGCCGAGCTTGAAAAGGTATTCGACCAGAGGGGTAGTCATTACGGTTTGGCGGTTGTGTGATTATGGGCAGTGTTGCATTCCCCTTTGGTAACAACGGCGATAGGTTTACGCCCATGAACGCATGGGTACCTGCCGGTTTCTAGGACGCAAGCAAACTGAATGAGAGGGTGGGGTTGCGCTTCATGTCATTGCCGCTCTGTGTCTCTGTATTCTGAGTTTTCGGCATGAGGGGACGATGATAATTCTCTTATGCAGTTCTTTGTCGAGCAGAGCAAACTTCCCCTTGCCGTCGCTCAGGCAGCTGCGCAGAAGATGGCCCAGGCTCGGCTCCACAAAGCTGTCTGCGCACTCCGAAGTATTCCGCGCTCTGGTCTGTCCTCGACTTGCGGAGACGTTCCTGGCGTTACAACCGAATCTGCATGCCCGTGATGCCTCGACTCAGCATACCTCAGCTGTCGGCCCCAAGCGCCTATGTGCAAACCCGGCTCAGCACAATTAACGCCCTAGAATCCTAGAATATCTAGTCCGCGATGATCCGCAGGAGAAGAAGCGCAAGCGCCATGCAGACGAGCACCTTCTCGCCTCACGGTGCCTTGGGTTTAACGGCGTTGGTCAAACAAATCTACGGCTTGAGTTTCAACCCAGGGCTTTCGGTTCGATGGCTTCGGGGCGCAAGGTCCATCAGCAGCGTTCAGGTGTGGGATCCAGAGTTCCGGGCTTGAAGTTCAGGCTTTGAAGCGCCCGCGCCTCACAGAGAAATATATTCTGTGAAACGCTAAGTTTCCGTTTTGATAGTGTCATTGCGCACATGCAGAGATGAGATCAAGCTGCAACAGAAAGACCTCTCCGTTCCTCCGTCGCATCCCATGGCTGTGGCACTTAGCTGCGAGACTTTGCCAAGAAGCAGCGCAGCCCTGCTGGCTGAGGGTGACTCGGTTGATTACATGCATCCTGAAGCATTCGGAGCACGGCGGCCTCCACCACAAGTTTACAGAGGCCCTTCGGCAAGAGATGCAGGGCTCTTCGGCTTTGCAGTGGCCTTGAACAATCTTGAGCACGAAAGCAGCGTTGGGATTGAGACCAACAAAGAATCTCGGCCCCAAGCCTTCATCTTGTCAAGTCCCGGGTCGCCACGACATGAGCTTCCCTGCATGCGGTAGGACGCCATGGAATCCCAATGCACAAATCTGCTTTTTCGGGCTTACAAGGAGCCCTCCCACAAGCATGATTTGCCGTGGACAGTTCTGCCGTTCTGCTGACATGGAGTGGCTGGAAATGTACATTTTCCCTGCGCAGTCGGTGGATGAGCTCTTCGAGATCGAGGCAAGGCAGTACCCGAGTAGAGAACGCACAAAACATTCGTCTGATGAGGAGGTTGATAAGGCAGATGCATTCCAGTGGTTCGCGAGCAGTACTTACGGTCAGAGTTTATTTTGAGCTTGAAAATATTTGATGTTTATGTTTCCAAAAGCCGGATGATTACTGATTAGCTCAGGCTCGTTGAAATTCGAGCTTGAGTTCGTTGGAGTTTCGATCAAAGCCTCCCACAAGATCACCATTCCCAGATCCCAAGGAGTTTTCAGAGTGCAGGCTTGCATTTAATGGGCGGAGAGTGTAATCGTAGAGGTAGGAATTCCCGGCCGGTTCTTCCAAGCAGTACCACAAATTGCCAGCAAGCCTTCAGGTTTTCAATTCCAAAATCACAGGAGGAAATTCGAATTGGGATTCAGGACAAAGGAGGACTTGCACCACTTTGGCCCAGATTAAGAGGATCTGACGAATGACCACTCCAGTGCAGAGCAGCCCTGGGTTTCGTAGACACATGCTGTGCTAGTCTCAGCGGGTTGTGAAGGGTATCCATGAAACCCGCACCTCTCAAGCAATGCTGTCGGATGCAAATCTTGTGAAGGAACGGGTAGGTCTGTCGTTAGGCACAGAAGCGGGCAAGAACCAAGGTTTTTTTATTGTGGACTGAATTTGGACCTTCGGCCAAAAAGTTGTGCACTATCACGGACTCCCATGTGCGTTCTCGGCCCGGAAACTGAAACGCTGGGGTCTCAACATAAGGGTATGGGAGCCTTTGCCACTATCTGTGATCCGTGTGGCACCGAGCTCGGGGCTCGGAAACCTGCACAGCTGCGGCTAACCTTGCTTGTATACCATCATTCAAAGCCCTCAGTCTGGAGTCACACTTTCTTGGATGTTTCCACGCACGCGCGGAGGTGGCTCGATCTGTTATCGACGAAGCCATCCAGGCATTGCTGAGTGGTTTGGGGCGTAGAGCGTGGCAACTCAGTGTGGCAGTGGGGCTTCCAAGCGAAAAAGTAGGGGCCAGACAAGTGAGAGACTCGCACGGCCTACCAGCCCGTCTATCGCAGTCTCACGGAATTCTACAGTCTCTGCATGTCTCTGCGAGGACCCGGTAGCCAAAGAGATCCTCGACGACCTGGCACCCCGGCCGATATCTTTCTGGTCTACAGTACCCGAATAGGTGCTGACAGCACTGCCGCAGTGTAGGCGCCGAGACGACTGGTTGCCAATTAAATGTAGTAACACATTCAAGAAGCCTAAGACCGCGAGGGAACCCTGTTTCTTCCCAAACTTGAAACCATGAAACAGTAAGGCACTAGGTGCTTGCGACCCTTTGCCTGCCAGCTTGTTGTGTCCATTGTCTTCGGACTGGTATAGTCGTGAGGATCACTCTGCACATCGAATCCTACTGACATCATATACGCTTCTGTGTTAACTTGAACCCTGCAGAGAAGCCCTTGAATCACTCCTCTTTAGGATTTTGACGCTTCAGGCTGCTTTGGAAAGTTCGATTGTGAATAATCACAGAAACCAAGACTGCACATCTCGAGTACTGCATACTAACGCTGTAAATTTCCAGCCTTATCCCGTCAATACAGATCCCGATCTCAGGACATCAGCCCACAAGATCGCACTCGACTTTCTGATATTTTTGATCCGGCCATGTCCTCAGCTGCACCCAGGTTTCGCGGCGTCCGTGGCTGCTACGGCAACGGCTACCGCTCGTGCTATGCCACTCTAGTGCTGCTTCTACTGCTCCTAGTACTGCTACTTTGCTAACTACCACCGCCATGCTTTCGACGACGACAAACGCGACAAAAACACGACCACTACAGTCTGTTGCCGTCTCCGTCTCAATAAAGACATTTACTTGCAACATCATAATCTATGCATAGATGCATTCACCGAAGTACACGCGGCGGTCCATCTGTTCCGCAAACTGAAGCATAGATTCATGTAAGCAGGTCTTCCGCAGACACATGGATGTGTCAACGAACGAGCAAGCTGACATGCAGATGCAAGCAAGATTAGGTAGACAGAAAGGTAAGTAAATCAGAATGTAAGTAGAGAGAGTGAGGCTTGTCTGTGCGTGTATGTATGTCTGTATGTATGCATGCATGCATGTATGCGTGTATGTACATAGGTAGGCAGGCAGGTAGGTACGAAGGCAGGTAGACAGATCAGTGCAGTTATGTATACATGTATGTACTGCGTGGATGAACACATGTTTGCATGTATGCACTTCAAGTGCTACAGATGTATGTATACACGTACCGACATACGCATGTAGTTCATGTGCTCCATGCACGATGCATGGTAGAGTCCATACGAGTGCTTTCTCAAGCTCTCCGAGACCGTCTTCCTGTTCCAAAGGGCTCGTGGTCAGTGCGCTTCCAAGCGGTCCCCCTTGCTATTAACAGCCGCAACCGGCAAGCTGCGGCTCTGCCAGGACAATGGTGGAACCATATCCTTGGCGGATGTCGCTGCAGGCAGAGCCTTCGGTTACGGGCGATTACAGCGATCAAAAGACAGCCTTGAGGATTCAGTCGGAGTTCTGCCTATGGGAGTTGTCGGGCCTGCCGGCTCATGGTTTGGTTTGGGTTCTTGCTGTTGATGCAAGCTCCAGTCATATGGCACATTGTGACCCCCACACATTGGATGGGCACGAGGCAAAACAGGTGTATAGTTTCCTGAGCAGGCCCATCTAAAGAACTCGCCACAACCGTGAAACCACCTTGAAATTTTGCTAAACTAATCATCTTAGCAGTGACAACAACAACTCTAACCGCGAGCCGTCATGAGCAGCCACAGGCTGGTTATGTTTATGTGGATGTTCATGCTCATGACAGCTTCCGTGAGAAACAGAGGCATCCGGCGGCTGCGTGGTGAGCCTCGACGCCGGGGTCCTCAGTCGTTAGGGCTGGTATGTAAGATAGGTTTAGAGGGTTCACATGTTGTATCACAGTGGCTCTGGCTTTTCCAGCTTTGAACTAACAGTCCTCGGGCTTACGAGTTCTTTTCGAAATACTCCCATCTTGCTTTACAGATGTGTTGGAGTTTTCTGTATCTGCAAAGCAGGCCTTTCAGCCAGATTACAAGAAAGTATTTTCATCACAGTACCATTATTCACGGTTCTTCGAATCGTCTCATGTATTTAGTCTGATGGTCGCAGAAGCAGCAGAATTGTCATGCTTGCTATCCCCAGTCTTCCTACTTCATGTGTGCCCCTCTTTCTTGGGCTCTGGACATCCTGGGTCTGGGCTGATCTTCCGGTTTTCACATTCTGCGGATTCTGCGCTAATCTGATGGTTATATTCGTCGTCCTCAACCAGAGGCATGATAAAGCTTCTTGCCAACTCCACAGTGCGCAAAGTGCTTTTATGTCACCACCCCGAGCAACACCCCGAGCAACGTCGAAGCTGAATAGCACCAAAGAGCTGTCAATCTTTCCAAAGTTGAGCCTCGATGAGAGGGGGGACTTTCGGCTTCAAGGTTTCGAGTTGAGGAAGAGTCAGGATGATAAGGATGCCTGAAACCTTCACACCCGGGACGGAGACTCACAGGCCCAATTGCGGTTCAGACATTTCTGATAGATACTACACGGCTGATCATCTTTCAATGTCTGGTTGGGTTGTCTGGAGAGGCCGATGCTGTTTGTGGCAGCCGAGGAAGCGATATCGTCTGCGTGGATCTTATGATTCGCTCGATGCAGGTGCCCGCTTGAAGTACGGACACCTCCGGTTTTGGGGCTGGGGACCCTCTAACCCAGGGCTTCAGGGTCTTGTGTGCATGGCTTCAGAGTCTGCCGTCTAATGCAATTCAACTTGTGGAGTTTTTCAGTAGGGTGATGGCGGCTCATAGAGTTTAAGGGGTGGAGTGTTGTGTTATCGGGTTTTGCTGGGTGTTGCCTGTTGAGTGGGTTCGTCTATGTTTCATCCACCCTCCTAGACTAGATTCCTAATCCCGATACCGTTACACATCTACTGTGTAGCGTAACCTGAGATCCTGCCCTTTTCTCGGCCGCCAGGTTTTAAATTAAGGCTGAGTGGGCTTAGTGCGAGGACAGTTACCGAATGTTACCGACGTGACGGCCCTGATGAGAGGGAAGCTATCGCAAGGGCTCTGTTGATCCAAGCGGACTCAGGGCTATATAAGTGTCATGGAATGAGCGTATGAAGAGTATAGGGTTGATAGCAACAAACATGAGAAAACCTTACTCGTTGGTGATAGCACTCAGAGCTTGAATAACAGCAACAGCAAAAAGGTCGGGGATGAACGTTGGTTGGGTTGTTGACCTGGATGGTCATTTTCGTAGTCATACCAGGCATGAGCTGATGACTATGACGCTATCATGATAATGACATGGAGCGTGCGGCTTGCAGTATTGCTGAGTGTATGTTGCTTGGTGATGTTGTGGATGCAAGCAAGGAACGCGTCACCTGATATGAGTTGCTGTCAACATGTTGTTTCCTGGCATACAGCAGTAATTAGTGAGGAAAACAGAGTGGTTCTGTAGCCCGCGGCGCCTTTCGATTTTAAAAGCCCGACATTCCATCTGGCAGGTGCAGATGTCGGATGTGCTGGCACAGGTCGAGGCAAGAATCTTGGGCTCCGGGAATCTCGGGAGTCAATCGGCAGGTAAGGCGAATCGAGAAAGCTTCAGCTGTCCCGCAAAAGCTGAGCATGGCTGCGAATGGAAATGAATATTCGATTGACATGTTCAGGGTCTCCCCCCGCCCTCATTCCCCTGCCCCTCCCATCCTTGCCTCGACCAGCACCTTCATGGCCAACTCTCCAACACCCACAGCTGAACATGATTGCACGACAAGTGTGGAAAGAACCTCGTCCAGCAGCAGCAGCAGCAGCAGCAGCACGACAGTTTTCACTTCACATTCGCCTTCGACACCAGGACCGTAGTATCGTCACCATCATCAGCATCACCACCAGGGCCGGCATCATCTCTACCCTCATACTTGCGGGGCGACCCACCAGTGTCATCAGGTGCTTGTGAACCGGCGCTGATGCTTTCCACAAGGTGCCCCGGGCCACGGTTCGTCAACTGAGGGCTCTTTCTGTTTGGGATGCGGGTTGGGCCGGGGATGGCCGGAGTCCTGCGGGTCTTAGGGTGATCAGTCTGTGTCCCACGGTTTAATGCCGGAGAGGTACTTCCAGCGCACCACGTGCGTTGTTTGCCGGTGTGTGAGAGTGAGTGATACCGAGAGCGTACGATAGCAGGAGCAGCTCCGAAGTGCAGCGACACGGCCGGCTTTTCGTCTTCCAAACGGTCTCCTGAGAAGGTTTACTCCGGCAGCGTCTCTTGCATTCATGGGCAGCTTGGAGCACCTCCAATGCAGAAAAGGAAAAGGCTTTGCAGGAGGTGCTGCGTGTTGGCACGGTTCGGCTAGGCCCAACAAGCTGTAAAGAGGTGCGCCGACTGTTTTAATTGCACGACCATGCAGAGACCCTGCTACAGCGCAGAAATAGTTAGTCTCACGTTAGGCACAAAGTGGCTTCCGTTTTTCTTTTCCATTCTGGCGATGCTCGCCAGAGCGTGGGGCTACGCTTCTCCAACTTTGGGGATGGGTTTAATGTACTGCACCGCTGCTCCTGGGACTACCTTCTGGAGCCAGCATGTGCAGCTCCGATTCCGTCTTGATAATGACTACGAGAGCATCCGTAGCTGATGCTGTCGAAAGGTGCGAGGGGTATGGGGTAGCTTGTCGGATGGTTCGTTCTGATCATGATGTTGGTCGAGCAGCCTTTTCGCCGTCAGCATCGCGTTTGGGGGCTTGACCTTGTTTTGGCTGGATTCACTGCCATCCTTAAAAACTGAGGCTCGATATCGACACGATCCAACCCGAAACAGACCGTGGCAAGCGCGAAGCCTGACCGGAGCCCGATAAAGATGTAAAGAAGCTAGGAGCCCCCAACTTACGACGATGGCGAGATGCGCGGTGCTGATGATGACGATGACGATGCCCACCGCGGCCACAACTTGTGGCTATTCTGCATGACTTTGATGCTCGCTTCCGAGGGAGGTCAAGTATGGAGCCCTGCAATCTCAGTCGACCTCTGGAGTGGGGGCCCGACCGAAGCCGACTTAGATGGACTAAAGCTCGAGTAGCATTCGGCCTGCTAAGACGGTGCTGTCGAAGCACTCGGAAGCGACCCTTGTCGAAGGACAGTCCTGATGTTGCTCGGCTCGCTGGTGACCAGTAGCTTGCAGAATGGTAGCCGATGCTGGTGTTCCCCTGCCGCTCCGGCATCGTGGCACCTCTTCCAGCAAGACCCAGTCTCTCTCGAATGGCTTTGCGAGGCACTTCCCGACCCAAGCGAGTAGTGGTGATTGGCGCTGGCACTGCCGGCCTTGCCGTTGCCTCGTGTCTGAAATCACCTGGTCGTAAGCAACCGCAGGCCCCACAGCAAGACATCGAGGTCACCGTGGTCGAGGCTCGAGGCCGACTGGGTGGACGAATTTGTACCGAGCACTTTGCCGATGGCTCAGCCGTGGATCTTGGTGCAGCATGGGTTCATGGAGCTTGCCGGTCCAATCCGGTAATGGCGATTGTGAAGGCATGCGGAGCAAAAATCGTGGAGACTGATTGGGAGAATGACCTTCATTTTGAAGCTGTTGGTACTGAGACTGAGCCACACCAGAGCAAGCAGATGGACGAGGTTGAGCTGCAGCGCAGCCACAAGCACTTTGAAGCTCTTTGGCAGCTCTTCCGCATGAAACAAAGTGCTGATCGGAGGGAGGCGAAGAAAGGGCCAATTGTGGATCAAAGCCTCATGACCACTTTGTGGGGCTTAAAATCGAAAGCCTTCAAAGGTATTGATGAGCTGGACAAGCGATCCCAGTTGCTGCTGCTCAACGCAATATCGGGCGAGACAGAGCATGACTATGCCGCGACACCAGACGAGCTGAGCTCAACTTGGTGGGATATCGATGACGAGTTTGACGGTGGACATGCCTTGTGGAAGGCCGGGTATCAGCAGCTGATTGAGCATCTGGCCGAAGGCATCACGGTCGTCCTGGATGCGCAGGTCGAGCGGATCGAGTGGTTTACAGCGGATGCAGGTGATGGGCCAGCCTGCGCCGTGAGCTTGCGCGACGGCCGGAGGCTCGAGGCGGACTTTTGTGTTTGCACGCTACCTCTCGGCGTCCTGCAGCGGGATCCCGGGCTGCAACCACATGTTGGAAGGAGAGAGCTGATTGACTCGTGAACAGCGATCTAAGCCATATCGGAACTCAGGGGTCGAAAATCCGGTTCAAACACCCACAACTTGCAGAGCAGAGCAAACACTGCCAAGGACCAGGCAGCGCTTTTCAGGCCTCCCCTGCCAGAGGCAAAGGTTGAAGCCCTCGGACGGCTGGGTGTGGGAGTCTTGGAGAAGGTGGCGTTGAGGTTCGAGCATCACAGCTGCATTGAGCATGTGTTCTCGCCTTATGCCTTATCCTTGTTTTTTTTTTCGGTTTGGGGGGCTTTAGAAAGGCGGTGTTTCTGGGAGAGCAAAGACGTGAAGCCTCATTGCATTTACCGGACACCGACCTCGGAGTCTCGGACTTTGCCTTCTGCCTGCGAGGCGCCGAGCCTTGGACTCTGGAGACGGGCAAGCGCTTTTTTTTGCTCTTCTGTGCGCTTTTCGGGGCCAGCTATGTGGGGTCGGAGGCAAAGTCTGCACGGCAAGGTACTGGGTGAGCCTCCGGCCCGTCACCGGCAGCAATGTGCTGGTGGCTTATTTCGTCACTGGCGCGGGGCGGGTGATGGCCCGACTTCCGGAGGAGGAGGCTGTGAGCCGTGTGCTTGCACTGCTGAAGCTCGGATGTCGATGTCTTCCTTTTCTCAGACCCGTTCCTCATACTGCGTCTCGAAATCCTTTAGCCGCTTCAATTAGGATTCGGCATTTGGGCAATGGGTGCTACAAGCACTCACCTGAAGATCGCACGGCTGCACAAGCAGACAGGCGATGGCATTGACAGCAAGACGAAAGTAGAGAAGCATGAGGACGTGCCGGGTGATGGCATGTCATCCTCCATCTGGCACGGAGCTAAGGAAGTCGATGTTCCCTCCGGTGGAGGTGGATGCAGCAAATCTCCTGGAGGCGAAAAAGACCGCGCGCCTCGTCCTACTTGGTACAGACCAAAGCTTAGTGTTGTGTTCACTGGGTTTGGAGTTTCCAGTTTGCATGGCGGCCGGCAGGGCTGAACAAGAAAAAAATCTAGGATCTACAGCCCAGGTGGGCTGAGGATGAGTGGTCTTGTGGGGGCTACTCCTTTCTCGCTGCCGCCGAGCTGGCATTTGGAAGTTTCAACTTGTGTGGAGCTTGTCGTTGTGAGCATGGGGCTTGGTCTCAGTCTTACGCTGTAAAGTGTAAAGTTTCAGGGTGTTGGTTCGACAACGGTAGAGCCCCCAAAGCCATTTTGGGTCTTGCCTCCGGCTCATGATTCGGGCCCCGAGACTGTCTAGCAATGTCAGATCTCGCATCCCAGTGTCCGAAAATATGTGTGCAAGCAGGTTTGCTTGCGTACGTGTCTGCATTCTAGCATACGTATGTGTGTGCATACGTAGATCTTTGCATGCACATACATGGAAGATGCTTCATGCATGCACGCAGACTATCGCAAACGTATGTGTGTGCCCGCACAGGACGCCCTCATATGAGCAGCATGGACGACAACACCATTTTTCGCTGAGGTTGGGGCGACGACGCAAGACAGGCACGCCCTGGCCAAGCCGGTGGGACCTCTGCATTTCGCCGGCGAAGCTACGCATGACAGGTCCGAGTAGTTATGAAACGACATTGCTTTTTCATGTTTTTTTGGGCGAGTGTGCCTGTGTTGTCGGTGCATCCATGTGTCCGTCTCTTTGCACTGGCTTGCACACCACGCAAAAACAAACACACAAGTGCTGATGCACATGTGAACACGTGTGCATGCATGAAGACATACACACACACACACACACGCGCGCAAACAAAAACAACAACCAACGCACACACGCACAGACAGAGGCACGGGCACACAGGCACACAGGCACACAGGCACACAGGCACACAGGCACACAGGCACACAGGCACACACACACACACATGCACACACATGCACACACAGACACACACATACACATGCATTCATACATGCATACATACAGGCACAGATGTACAATACCACGGCTCCTACGTGTACACATATTCACAGGAGCACCTGCGCAGAGTATACATGACAGACTTGCGAAGGACACTCCGATTTAGACCCGATGCATCCCATCCCGTGTCCCACAGTCTGACCAGGTATCCGGCCACCGTCCACGGCGCCTTGCTATCAGGTAGGCGTGCAGCATCGGAGATCCTGGCCAAGCTGTCGAGCGAAGCAAATGGCTATCCCAAGTAAGAAAAGTGCGCAGAGGGCTTGGGGGAAGCCGTGACAGAAGCATCTTCAACAAGGTATGCGACGTTAAGTCGCCCGATTTCAGTCTGTTGTGAGGATGTTAGTTCGCCGTCTTAGTCAGATCCTCACAGAAGCGTGAACGGGAGCTCAACTCGTTTGCAGGCCATGGGCCCTGCAAACACCCAAAGTGGAAAATCGATGGGGCTCGCAGTACTTGTCTTTGGACCGAAGTTCGGATTGAAACAAGCATACGTACATGTATACATCTATGTACTTGTAGATGCATGACACATTATGTTTATGTAGTATGTATGCATATGTGTTGAAGGTATAGTCTGTATAGTGTATAAGCATTCTCACACTCTGCCGCTGTCTCTCGCTCTCTCTTTCTCTTTTCTTTCTGTGTGTCTGTCTGTCTGTCGGTCTGTCTGTCTGTCTGTATGTATGTATGTATGTATGTATGTACGTAGGTATGTAGGTATGTATGTATGTATGTATGTATGTATGTAGGTAAGTATGTATGTATGTATGTATGTATGTATGTAAGTATGTATGTATGTATGTATGTATGTATGTATGTATGTAAGTATGCATGTACGGATGCATGTGTCTTTGCGTATGGCATGCGGATAAGCAAGGCTATGAGCCTACGCATGCTCAAGTTCCTGCTACCTACCGCCCAGGTACGAGGCGACGAAAGTGTCCGGGATTTGGGAAGACGCACCTGGTCTGCAATCTGCAACCGGCGCGGAAGCATGCACTCTGAGGCTTTGCGCCTCTTTTACGCCCCTTTGCCCTGAACTGTCAGTTCCTACGTCCGAAACCCTGTCCTTTACATGTGATCCTCTAGACAGCAGTGCTTCAGCAAAGTTCCGAAGCGAAAATCGCCAAACTAAATCTCTTCCGCTTCATTCCTACAAAGCCTGGATGGAAGTGACGCACCCACAAGCCGTTTGAGGGATCAGAGGGCTTAGTTAGATAGGCGAAATCAACCACCTCTGCATATACCCTACTTCCTCAAATGTAGGATAGCGTCCGCAGAATCCTCGAAACCCCGCACCCTGAACGCAAATCGAGCCCGAAGTACTTCGATACAAAATCCGTAAAGACGAAACACCAGCCCCCTGAACCAAGAAAACCCTTGTAGAATCTCCAGGAACCATGTGGAACCCCTGAAACGCAACCCGAAAGAAGCCTCAAAAGCCAGGGGCTAAACCCTAAACCCTAAATCCTAAACCCCTAAACCCTAAATCCTAGGTTCCCGAGAGACTCCGCGGAGTCTTCTGGATGAAAGGGAACGGAGTCGGCCGGGCCTCCCAGGGCTTCTCCGGGCTCAGGGGTTTAGGGTTTAGGGTTCAGGGTTTAGGGCTTAGGGTTTAGGGTTTAGGGTTTAGGATTTAGGATTTAAGGGTTAATGTAGGAGCCTAAATTCATTATCAAAACGATGTTGTTTGGGGGGCTTCCGTACGTTTGTTTTCGTTTAATATACCCCAAAAGCCTATTCTAATTAATAAAATTATTAAGGCCCCTACATTACAGTAGATTGTAGTATATTGCAATATAATAGGGTATATCACAGTATTGTAGTTGTCATTCAAACCTCACTCTAGCATACTGTAGTATATTATAGCAGCATGAGTCATGGTAGCATTTTCCTGTTACAGTCCCTGTAAATGTGTGCTAGACAGTACGGTTCAAGGTTTAGGGCTCAGGGATTTACAGGTTTCTGACCCGTCGAAACTTGACATATTTCTTGGAGCGAGAGCTTCTGCCGACGGCGCATGATCTTGCCATCATCCTTTGTCCATCCTCGTCTTCGGTTCACGCTCGCAGCTGTAAGTCTTGCTTGTTATTGTTGCACCAATCTGATGCCTTTGCTGTTGCTGCTGTTCCTGTTCCTGTTCCTGTTGCTGTTGCTGTTGCTGTTGCTGTTGCTGTTGCTGTTGCTGTTGCTGTTGCTGTTGCTGTTGCTGTCGCTGTGGCTGTGGCTTGTGCTGTTGCTGTTGCGGTTGCGGTCACGGTCACGGTCACGGTCACGGTCACGGTCACGGTCACGGTCACGGTCACGGTTGCGGTTGTGGTTGTTGTTGTCGTCGTCGTTGTTGTTGTTACACTGGTTGTTGGGTCGGGCTTCTCTTAGCATTCCACATCCCAAATCACAGATCCCGCAGCGAGTCCCGTGACTTCCACCAACTTTTGAAACTCTGAAAACGTGTTGAAGCTTTTGTTTCATTTTTGATGTTTGCAGATGTCAGAGCCGTCACTCTTCAACCGAAACTTTAGTTAGGTGGCAATTTCGGAAGCTTTTTTATTTCCCTTATGGTCTCCCTAGAGGTACCTGTTCATAAATACTTCTCAGGGCCCCTAAACTACAACCGAGTTAGAGTCTTTCCTATTTCCGCAGACCCGCAGGGGAAGAGCTGATGGTGCTCCAGTACGGCCGGTGGTTTGAGAAGGCCCGGCACTTCCATATGGGGGTTTCCGAACATAGGGGACCCTAATATAGTACCCTAAATACTAGGATCCCTATTATAAGGACCCCAAAATAAGGTACCCCGTATATTCGGAAACTCCCATCTGCGGAAAGTCCCATATTGAGTCTCTCTTGTGGACGTAGGAGCTGTGGAGACTCCGGCACCTTTGAAGTTCAAGGCTTGAAGGCCTTGGGGCTGCTATCCCCCGTGTTGAAGCAATTGTCTCTCCAGTCGACTTGGCTCACACTCTTGTTGTAAATGCTGTTCGACGATTCAGATACCAGACCTATGAAGCTCGGGCTTCAACGGAAACTTCCACCGCCTTTGACTTCCCAACTTGGGCTACGGCTCTCGCCGCCCTGATCCCTCGACCGAGGAAAAGATCCTCATCACGCCAATGGCGCCCTTCATGTGGGCCTGGCCGGCAGGACAGCTTCCGACATGTAGCAGCACGTGCATTTTGTTTTTTTTGGGCTTGAGCCGCGTTAGGAAATAGGGTTTGAAGCTTAGGGTTTTGTTTGGGACTTAGGCTTTATGGGCTTACGGTCCGATTGCGCCCGAGGGGTGAGAGCCTTGCTTCAGAAACCTGCTCTTGTGCTTGACTGCCTGGAAAGGGGACCCTCCTCAACGAGTGTTTCAAGACTGGCACAGACTGCGCAAGATAAGTTGGGTGCGAGATTAGAAACCACCTGCAGTGGTTGCCCCTCGTGACCAGCCTTACAGCGCCGACATGGAAGTTTATTCATTAGGCAACGCTACGATCTACTGTAAGGCCCTGTTCGAATCATTGAGGCCCCTGTATTCCGCCTATTGCTTTGGACTCCTGGACGCAGGAAAGCCCGCTGACGCTCCCTACTGGGGCGCCATGTGCCTTGCCCCTGTCCGGGCTTAATACTTCGACTAGGGTTGTGGGGTGTCAAATGGTATAGTTAAATTTAAAACACCCTAATTAAGGGATGGTGTGGCTAGAATTATTGGGGACCCAAGCCCATCATCCTGAAACCCCCTAAACATTCTAACTTGAGATCTATCCGGGCCAATTCAGGATCTGTGCTAATATAAGAGCCTAAGTACTTCAAAGATACTGCTCCTTCGGCCATATAAACTACAGTGCATTACCTATACGGGCTCCTTATTATAATTGCAGAATAAAGGGCCCCAAAACCCTATTCTAATTATTAAGACCCTCATATGACAGTGGAAGAGAAGGGTGGGGAGATCCTGGGGTTCGGATTGAAGTGGCTCAGCTTCGAGCTTTGGTGCGCGGCTCTGTTTCAAAAGGAAGTTTCTTATCGAGTTGTTGTTCAAGCTTTCTAGGACTTGATAGGGTTTCTTAAGGTGTTCTTGCTGTGGCTGTGCTTAAAGTCTGAGGGTCGCTGTAACAACATCCGGGCCCCTTATTGGGGGGGTCCTTGTACGAAGGATCTTAGTACTCAGGTCTTCATGGGCTTTTTCTTTTGCCGAAGTGACCCTAAGCAGTTCCATGTGAAGCCAGGGTAAAATCAAAGCACGCCCTGTCCCCACAACCTTAATGTTTTGCATGTGTGAGTGGGTGGTTGGGAGGGAGCCTTTGAAGGCATCTTCTGAAAGTCTTGCGAGAAAGTCTGCAGTGCAGCCTAAACCCTAGACTCCAAACCCTGAGCTTGCATGGCTTCAGGATACTTCGTGTTGGCAGTTGGGGTCAGAGTGCTCATGTCCTCTAGCTTCGGGATGCTGAATAAGTAGGGCTTTGGGGCCTGAAGTGTGTACTAATTATTACGATGATCAGCAATACTAGTATTGCTAGTAGTATTACGATTATTCTTATTGTTACCACTACTACTACTACTACTACTACTACTACCACTAGTATCACTATGATTATCACTACTATTATTACTACAATTATTACTTTCCGTATTATTGCTACTACTACTACTACTACTACTACTACTACTACTACTGTTGTTATATTGGGTGAATTATTGCTGCTGCTACTACTACTACTACTACTACTACTACTACTACTACTACTACTACTACTGTTGTTATATTGGGTGAATTGCTGCTACTACTACTGTTGTTATTGGGTTAAGCCTTATTTCTCGGGGGCTAGGCCTTGCCAGAGCCAGGTATGGTCAGACAACGACCATGGTCGGAGCACGCAGCTCTGCCTTCAGCTCTGATAATATCGGTTTTGGGGCTCCTTTAAAGGGTTCATTAATGGGTTCTATAAGGGCTACTGTAAGGGTTTAGGGTGTAGGGGCCTAGAAGAGGGTTTGAGGGCCCATTGTACTATAATTATCATAAGGAACCCCCCAAAATAGTATTGGTAACTATTTAGGCCCCTACGTTATTGAGCTTAGAGTCTAGAGGCTTGCTGCTCTGCATAGGCTTTTTTGGTTTGTTGAGAAGCTTGCAGTCCGTGAGACCCCAAGCCTCTGAATCAAAAACCCCTATGATGGCCCGAAACCCTCGAATCCTGAGGTCAGAAGCTTCTAAACCCCAAGCCCCGACAGGGTCTGAACCCTGAGGCCCGCAACACACGGA